GCATCACTAATTCAAGTGATTACCAATCATAGAAATCTGGAATACTTTACTATAACAAAGCTATTAAACCGCTGTCAAGCCCACTAATCCGAATTTCTATCTCGATTTAATTTCCGAATCACTTATCACTCTGGAAAGCTAGGTGCCAAATTTGATGTGCTGATTAGGAAATCAGAAGATCTTTCTAAGGAGGGGGATGAACACTTCCTGCACCAAAGCTGTACTATCCTGAAACAAAAGAACCTGGATCCCAACCTGTTTCTCGTTACTATTACCTTAATCGAATTCAAGATTGTCAAGAGAGTATGCTTCGCTGTAATCATTTGTAGTCAGAAAAACCCCAACCCTACCGATACTACCAACCACTTGGATTCCAACGATATTATAATTTTGCCAGAAAATAGCAAAGTTATAGAGCCTGCAATCCCATATGCTATATTTGTACCCAACCCTGCAATACAACTAAAGAACCCAGAAAACCCTCTAAACCTTCCTACCAACCTGCTTACCCTATTCCACGAAGGCTACCAAGCCGACCCTGTATCCAAATCTGTCCTGAAATCTTTACAAAAGGAATCCCCGAAATACCCGAAAATCACTCTTACCGAGTATATCGAAAACAACAATTTACTATATTACCGAGAGAAACTATATATTCCCAATCACGACCCCCTGAAAACCTATCTGCTCTGTTTGTATCACAAATCGCTTGCTACTGATTACCTACACCATACCCGAACCTTCGAATTACTATCCCGAAACTATTACTGGCCTGGATACTACGATTATATTATGCAATAGGTCCATAACTACTATAATTACCACCACGCTACCCCGAATCGCAAAGGCCAGAAGGGAATTCTCCGCCTACTCCCGACTCTATAAAGAGTTTGGCAAGATATCTTAATAGATTTCATTATATATTTATCCGAAAATACCGGTTTCGATACTATTATAATAATAATCGACTGATTGACGAAAATGAAACATTTCTTGCCCTGCTATAATACCTGCAACTCCGAAGAAGTTGCCCGTCTATTCCAAAAGAATATCTGGAAGCTTTATAGCTTACTTTTAATCATTATATCTGATCGTAAAGCTCAATTTATCTCTGAATTCTGAAAACATATCTATAAGCGCTTAAACATAACTGCCAAGCTTTCAATCGCTTATTATCCTGAAACTAATGAACAAATCAAAAGAGCTAATGCAATACTGAAATAATATCTCCGATCGTATGTAGTCTATCTGCAAAACGATTAGGCAAAATAGCTTTTACTTGCCGAATTCTCTATCAATAATGCCTGATCCGAAAGTACCCGAATAACCCTATTCTTCTCGAACTACAGATTCCACTCCTGCTTAAGTTTCAAGCCCACACCGTTCCAGAATAACCATCCTGCTGTACGAAATACTGAAGAATTCGTTGCTAAAATAGAAGCCATCTCCTTATACCTACAGATCGAACTAATTACCAATCAAACCCGATACTCGAAGAATACTGATACCCGTTGTTCCCCTACCCGTAGATACCTGCCCGGTAATCTAGTCTAACTGAATACCAGAAATATCAAGACTCTACATCTACAAAAGAAACTCGATTAGAAGAATTTCGAGCTCTTCAAAATCCTGAATCCGATAAACCCTTATGCCTATAAACTAAAGTTTTCGACTTCGATAAAGATTTATTCTGTTTTCTATATCAACCTGTTATATCCTGTATACAATAATTTTATTCCTGGGCAACGTAATCCATTACCACCCCTTATAGAAATAGACGGCCTCGAGCGTTTTGAGATTGCCGAAATCCTGAACTCTTGCTAGGAAAGAAAAGGTCGTAGAAGACCTTGCCTGAAATACACTATCCGTTAAATCAGTTACAATACATCGACCGAAGAACCTGCAAGCTATTTAGAAAACATACAAAAACTAATCCACAACTTCCACTATAGATACCCTGATAAACCCAATCCCGTTTGACCGGGCCCTGCCTGCCTGTAGATTGTAAACCGTAACGTACCGCCTCGACAGAGCTCGACCCTTAGAAAAAAGATAATATTATAGTATGAGCTCATATGATATACTGATCCTATCGAAAAAGATCGAAAAGAATACTTGTATTAAAGCACAAGCGAGTTAGGGTCCGATCGAGCTAGCTCGCTATGAAAATTCCGTATATCTTCAACTCAGAAGATCCTATATTGTAGCTCTTTGAGCTACATCTTAATCCTCAATCTGAACCTATTACGCGAATCAGTATAGCCTTGCCAGATTAGGGCAAAGTTATTAGAACCCTATCCAGCCCGCCTGCCCCGTGATACGTATGGGGAAATGAATTAGCAAACAAACTAGTGAAAGAAGCTACAGCAATACACTCTATCTTAAACGAAACCAGCTTTAAACTATTCAGTATAATAATAAAGGAATACAATACTAATTAATAACTTGATATTCTCAATTAATACAAATCTAAATCAAACCAATCCGATACAACCTATTCGAAACTCTTTCTATAGAAAATTAACTTAAAAATCAAGCTTCCAAAAAGCACAAAACGAAATACTACTAATACCTTCTTTCAACTCAAGTTAGGTTATAAATATATCAAGTCTTATTTGTAGCGATTCAAGCTTTCCAATAATAAGTATATTTACAATAATATCAAAACTGCTACTCATCTTCTAATTAGATATCCGATATACAGAAGAGAAAGGAAAGAAATCTTCAAAAACCTATCAATATCCCAAACCAACCTACAATTCTGCTATATACAAAAATAGGTATCGAACTAGCAACCAAATTCATTAATACTATTAAAATTGCTATAAGGACCTGGCATCTAACTAGAGTCAAAACTCAAAACGAAATAGTTAAAGAGAAAGATTCAATAAGCAAAGAAGAAAGAATAATTAAAGAGCTAAAAAAAGAAATACAAAAAAAAAGAGGAAAGAAATAAAAGAAAGAAAAGAAAAGAGCAAAATCCCTTTCAAAACCTATTGTATAGACTATATACAATAATGAGCGCTATGCCCCAGTATTTGTTTTCACTTTCCTTATTATTTCATTCCCATTGTGTACTTTAAAAGTTATCCACTAGCGCCCTTATGGCCTAGCCGTCTTATATAGTCATGGACTAAAGCGGGACGTTAAATTAAATCAATCAATCAATCAATATCTGCCTGCCCCGTGATAATATATATAAACGCGCATGTAAGCGATTACAACTACGATTGAGTACGATCCGTAACAGAATATACAGTAAAACCTCTCTATCAGAAGCCCTCCTATAAGAGTAACCTCTATTATTCTTGTTTTTTTTAGGTCTCAAATTTTTCTAGGCCTAAAAATAACCTATATTTGTAATGAACTTAATAAGTATTTAGAGATCAATCTTAGAATTAAAAGCTATAGAGTTAAAGAGAGTATACTACAAAGCTATATATATAATCGGCTCGAAGCTTAATATTATACTTAGCTCGATCGGACGCGATTATATATATATTGTAATAATATCCTTAAAACCCCTCTATTAGGATATTCTTATATCCTTCGATTCTATAATCACGTATATCCTTATTGAGCCAATAGAGTTATTAGGATTAGTTTATTATATAATCGATATATTGAAATTTTAGCCAATTTTTATGAAAGTGGAAAATTATCACTGTGAAGGACTGTCATAAAAGGATTCAATTCTACCTTAGAATCTAAAACTAAAGAAGGAAGAAAAGAATAAGAAGAGAACGGTAAGGGCTCCGGACTATATACACCAATGAGTCACGTGCTAGGCTAAGGTCCTAGAAGCTAAGTGACTGAGAAAGGAACCTGAAAGGGACTGAATCGTCACAATCACGAAATATAATCCGATCGGGACTAATCGGAAGCGGAATACTACTATGTCGGGATTAGTCGGATACCTCTATATAAGGATACCTCTATATATCCTTAAAAAAGTTTACAAAAACCGGTATCCTTATAGATAGGTTTTGCTGTAATGACAATATCTTTTTTCAGATTTTTGTAAAACTCTGAATTGAAGCCAGAAAGAATGATGGTCAATTAAGACATTTTTAATGAGATCACAACCCCCCCCCCCCCCCCCCCGCCCCCACTGAAATGCGTTACCACTGGTAGCGACCACCATAAAAGTCCTAGAAATATTCTTAGGGACTCCGTCTTTGTAATTCAATCCGCCATCTGCTAGAAGATCCATGCTCTTCTCCTACTTTATAGTTCTTTGGCGACGCTCATAACATTCCCTCGAACACGAAGCCGCTTTCCTCGTAAATTTCTTTCAATGCGTATATTCTTGTGGATTAGCAGCCGCTAAATCTTGCCTGTGCCATGTCAGCACAATTAAGATAAACAGCCAAAGACATGTATAACATTTTAATGCAAGCAGTATGAAAATTTCCATAATATGTCTGACTTACCACAGACGTGGTGATGAGAAGTGAAGAATTAAATGTATCGTACGTTCTAGGAAGGATTTGTATCAGCGCAAGTGTCTTTTCCGCTATCTAGGCCACCTGACCCTCGAAGACTAGCAGTCCAGTATAAATAACACCGGGTGCCGAGCCAGCATAAATACAATTAATTTCGTAGTCACGTTATTGTTAGTCTTAGAAGTGTTAAAGATTGTTGAAGCGTATTTAACATCTTTATCTCAACCCTGATTCCTGTAATACGCTGAAGGGGAGAGGAGTTGTTCATGGTTAGCATCGATAAGGTTCAGATATTGGGTAAAATAATATGTCTGTAAGGGAACGCCAGGTTCTAGCTGTCCCAAGAATTACGACCAGCTCTATGTGTCTTTTTTCAGCCGGAGCTCGTGCCAAATAATAGATTTGAGGGGGACAAATTGCCCCATCAAAGAAGCATTACTCGAAACGGTACGATCATAATGTCTACTTCTCACCATCATTATATCTAGTTTTTAAGGTATCTTTCTAGCTTGTACTCATTTCGTGTTTATTTAGGATAACGACACCTGCCGTAAGATGAGTCCTATAAGTTCGCTTCAAACCAAATTATCTCCAAGTCCTTCTTCTGGAAAATACTCTTCCATTGAGTCGGAAGAAGACACGACATCGCCAACACAGTCACAGTTCTATGGACTGAGAGGGAAGATAGTTTCTCTCTCCGCAATACTGAGCCCTGTCTTCCTGCTTCTTCTTGTCTTGAACCTACGCATTTCTTCACATTTAGAGAATGATTATACGACCCGCACCATTTTTGGTGACAGTATGACCTCTTCCTTCGTCCTTATCCTCTCTCAATGTAAATTCGTCAACTTACTTTCTCTAGTTCCATGGACCAGACAGACTTTCGGTGGAAATGATAATTTTCTTCATGCTGATCCGTACGATGGCCAGGCTTGGACTCTCTACAAAAATCAAAACTTTGATCCTGAACGTCAGTCTACAGTTTGGGACGATATTTATCCAAGCAATTTCATTGCGGTCGAAAATCCACAGCAGTTTGGGTTCCAGGGTGGAGTGGAATTAAGTGCTGAAGCACAGAATTCGACCGATTTTGTGGCTGGAAGTCAGGGATTTGGGTTGGCTTTTTTGCATCAGATACACTGTGTTGTGCGCAGAAATTTACCTAAAGTATTGCTTTCGTATGGCCTGGCTAACAATTCTTTGTAGGGTGTCCTAAAACACTATTTGTCCTACGTGAATCGTAGTGAAATGACGGCACAGCAGAACGTTCACACGGATCATTGCATAGAAGTTTTAAGACAGGTGCGTTCGATTTTTTTCAGTTCTTTAAGGAATCAAGTGTGAAAAAGTACTGACTTTTATCTGAAGCTTATCTTGTGTAAAGCAGACTTGAGCGTGCAGCGTCCCAAGGGGCTTCCCTCTTCTACGAGGTGGCCTTCACAGCAACAGCATATTTGTCGTGATGAAAGAGTTTTGATGGATGCGATATGGAGTCGTGCGATTGTTAAAGCGGATGGTGGGTGGATACGGCGACGTAAATAGCGTGTTTTACATATGGGAAATTACAACTGTCTGCTTCTTCCCACTCTTGTATCCATCGGTTTTGTAGTTCCCATCCCACCATATTGTGCCAATTTATCTACTCTTTTTTTATTCGAATGTTACTAGATACAAAACCAGAATTACGCAACAGTACTTAAGCATTTTCTGATTCATGAACACTCGCTCCGCGCCATTGATCAATATCTCAGGAGACATGAACGCTATACAGATAGCGCAACCACCAGCATTTATTCGTTTGACATTGCCATGTGTAAGAGCGTCGTAGAACAATGTATCAGCACCGAGGTACGGTCAAGATGCCTTCAGGACGCATGCTTTCATGTATTCATTCTTTAGCAGACCAAGCAAAATTGAGCCCCAATATATCGCATAAGGGAGATACTCATTTTTCATAGATTTGTCGGGCTGATGCTCGATGTGCTTCGTACTTATATAAGTGAGAACCCGAAGCATGAACACCGTGCCGTAACAGTCGTATGACCAGCAAGGCCTTCTATCATCTATGCCTTCCAATACTTAGATATGCATCAAAGTTCCAAAGTACTAACTGGCACCGCTTGAAATTGAAAATCAGAGCGGCCCACATAAAATTTCAATCTGTGTCGTCGAGATGAAGACAAAGAAATACGCTGGATATTTTCAAATACAAGATCCTACGCTTGGACCAAGTAACCAATATCCCTACATCGTGCACATCCCTGTATCGTATACATTTTTAAACTCACTTTATAACAACTTTAATATTTAATAATAAATATATTCAATAAGATATAAAGCTATAAGTTATCTAAGAGTATAATAAGATATAATAGATTAGAAAAGAAGATTTAACATATCCTCCAATAAGAAAACTATATACAAAAGTTTCTTCTTCTTAATATCAAATACATAAACAAGATATAATAAGTTATTTCAATACATTTGATTGTAAAACATAGCATAGATATATTGTTTAGCTATTGAGCAATACGACGATTATAACAAATCATATTGAAGGAATCTTACAATATCATAATATTGTCAATGTATGGTTATAAGCAATCTGTCGCGTTGCCGAGTGTGTCGAGTCGCGACCCAATCGCTCTAACGATAATGACAATAACCATATCGACAATTGAAGCGAGTGGAGATGGTGATATATAGTTTATTTACAAAGCAATAACTGATCAATTCTATAAGAAAGATAGAAAGCAACAAGTAATTCTAAAGATTGTAAGCACGATCGATACATATATTAAAACCTTGAGCAAGACGAAACTGAGTTATACTGATGTGTTGAGGTTTGTATATATCGATAGTATAATCAAGACTATAAGATAAGCTAGGCTTACATAGAGAATTCCTATATCAATCACAAGAGCAATTCCAGAGGGAACTGCTAAATCCTATACTGATACGCTTAAGACTGAAGGGGCGCCTCAAATACTGAAGAGCGTTAAGACGAGTATACCCAAAACGATAGAGACAATACAGAAGCGCGAATGATGGAAGCGAAACAATTGCACGATCCTTATAAAGATAGAAAGTAGATAACAAATAATTATCAATAATCTTTTCGAATTGTGATTGAAGATTATAGAAGCAGTTCCTGGATTAAGGCTTGAACTGATTCCTTTATTCTATTATAACAGGACAGAGTGGATTCTGGAATATAAGATGTTAGAGGAATGCAAGAATCTTTTGTAAGATGAAAATCGTATATAGCTGATCACTATATTTGGTATAGATGATATTCAAGTTACAGAGATCTGGTATAATTATATTGTACTTCAGGTCTCTTACAACATACTGGGTATACTCATAACACTTTCAGATATGACCATCTAAGAAGAGATTAAGATATAGATAAGAAAGGAACCAATGCAATACAAAGTCTCTAAGTATAGAGTAAATCCTTTTACAGGAAGGGCTAATTAGATTATTAGTTTTAAGAAGATAATAAAACTATTCTGGTTATTTAATGTTAATAAATATTTGAAGCCTTTTGATAGATCACAATACCCTTAATTATAACAATACTTTAACAAGTACCAGTTATATTATAACCCATATATATGTTATCACCCGGTTCACTGCTTTAAATACAGTGAACTGACTGTTAAATATATTGATAGAAAGATTTATAAGTAATGCCAAAATGATACTCAATATGCAGAATACCTAGAACCTTTCCGATCTATGTATAGCAATTGTTTAGCGATATTATAATCAGTCAATGGAAAACTGATTAGGCTCACCTATTGATAAATAAAAGAAGTCAGGATTGCTGATTAAAGGGAGACTCAGGAAATATATAAGGAAAAGGCATCTACTTCAATACCAGTCAAACAGTTTCAAATGGTTATCCCTAGATTCTCTATATCGGGAGTTTGTATTATTGCCTACAAGAACGAATGGCAATTGGTAAACCGATCATCTAAACAGACTTGATTAGAGGAGAGCTCCTCCAATAGTTTGATTCACATTCCAAACTGTAATCCTTCGTATTGTATTAACAAAAGAATAAACTATAATATAGTAGTTATAATTGAAAAAGCCTTTTCACCTCCCGACTTTGAAATGAGTAAGGAAAGTGAGTCAAACGTCGACAAAACTGTTACCATTTTTATATGAGTTGTATAACTAGTACAAACTCAATAAAGAGAAGGGGGCTTACAATCGTATAGGCGAATGTGAGATGCGGATACTCCAATCATATTATTTTCCTATAGGTTGCTGGAGAGGCTGATATGAATATCATCTGTATCCAAGAACCCTGATTGTACGATAACTTGGCAATCCAAAATCATACTGTATATAATCGATATCAGCCAATCGATATCTAGAGAGTGGCTGATGGTTCTGAGTATAGGCTACGAGTAATCACTTATATACAAAAAGGAGATAACTTGAAGATCAGATAAATAAGGCAGACCGGAAGCAGGGATCTACTTTGGATCAATATTAATAGATACTCGATTTTCAATACCTACCATACCCTACTCGATCTATTAACAATAGAATATATACTTGAATTAAAGATTGCTTTAGGGACTGGTACAATTATCGAAAGTAATTTCAATGTTAAGTATAATCTGTGGGAACCTGGAGTAGTAATTGTCAATTAAGGTGATACACTTATACAATGGGCTATTGAACAGGGAATGGAGTATATTGGGACTTCTGGTGTTTCTATGTATATAAGGGGATATGTTCTGAATCTGACCTTTTTCAATCTGACTACTACTATAATAGTGATTGATGACGATCTGTATAGTGGCTCCGATTACGTTACTCAAGTTATTATTATCTCGAATAGAGGAACCTCTAAATACGAATAAGCACATATCCGAATATGCGATTCAGATTTACCCTGCCTAGCAGGCATAATAGCCAACCGCTTAGCGAACCTCCAGAACCCAAATCTCCGATCTACCTACGATGTCGATAGATTGATCGCCAGACTTATAAGCGTATTGAGCGTTTCTGTAATAGTTGTAGGGCAGAAAGGCTGCAAACCTTATTGATTATCCCTATAGTGGACCGATGAGTGTAAGGAGGCATACTGAATATATATATAAGCCAGGAGAACTGGAATTGCTGATGGAATAGCAACTGCCCAGTAGGATCTATAGAGGGTTGTGCGAGTATTGAAACGAGCCTATTGGATTAAACGCTTGAATGATATACAGAACAATCAGGAATTATACAAAGTCATGAACTGGCACAAGCTGATCCCAGAAGCAGGCCTCAAGGCCCCTCCTCTAGTGATCAAAGGCCAGGAGATCACTAATATCAGGGAAAAAGCCGAAGCACTCTTTACAATGGTACTCGACTGTTTCAAAGTATCGGACGATCTATAGCACGACTCTCTACAGGAACAGGGTTGCCAGACGATCTTACTATGGAAAAGAATGATCACCACAGAGAAAGTGGAAAAACATGTAATAGGAGTTAGGAGCATGTTACTCAAAGTCGATCAAGCAATCATTCGCCTTCTCAAGGTGTGCTGGCCTAATACGAAGAATGTAATACATGAGATTTTCGCGGTTTGCCTTAGGCTCAGCTATTATCTTAACGAGTGGAAACTCGCTGAAGTAGTTATGCTGCCTAAGGTTGGTAAGAAGGATAGGATATCCCCGAGATTGTGAAAGCCGATTGTGTTGATATTGTATATTAAAAAAGAATTAGAAAGATATATTGCTAGTCAAATTGTATAGATAGCTATGAGATACAATATTATTAGCCCTTAATATTGTGGAGCATTGTCGAAAAGAGCTGGTATTGATTTTATAGTTGCCTTTACTCATAATGCTAAGCTTGTTTTAGTAGCTAGCAAAGTGGTTATATTAATAACAATGGATATATAAGGTGCCTATGATGTACTCCTTAAAAAACAGTTCTTATAATATATGAAGAAATAGAGTTGGCTTATAGTGCTCTTGTAATTCATTGATTTATTTCTGACTGGGAGATATATGTGTATAAGGCTTGAGGGGATTACAATACAGGATTTCCCGGTTGCATATGGTACCCCCCAGGGATCACTATTTTTCCCTATCCTGTATACTCTCTATCTTGTTGAGCTTTTCAATCAAAATAGAGTATAATGTTTCGAATATACTGATGATATAGCTATATATTATATATCTAAAGACCTATTCATGAATATATATATACTTTGCTGAATCGTTCAATACATTCTATAATGGGGAGATTAGAATAAGGTCTTTTTCGCTTTAGAAAAGTTTGAGCTATTTCATATATTGAGAAAGTATAAAATTGCAAATCCGGCTATAAGGATAAGTCAGGACTTAGTTATTATATTAACCCCTCTAAAGCTTATCAATAGAGTATAATTGATCTTATACTAATTTGATGTCTTTTTTGATTAATATCTAATATTTCTATAGTATGTCAAAATATGTATTGTGAAAGCTATATGTGTTGTATCCTATATCCGATCAATAGCTTATATAGCCTATGGACTATTTGTAGTC